CCACACACCTATACATATATAAACGTACGTATCTTCCTGTGTAGCCATACACATATTTTTTGGTTGTTATTACTATTGTTGCAAAATTGCATATGTTGTGGCCTTTACCAAAATCATCCCTTATTCTTGTGTACTTGTTAGTTTCATCTTTTACCTTGATCAAACTGTGCTGACTTCACCTTATTTGGTATTGCCTTTCCCATCACCAAAACTAGCAACTGTCTACTATCTAGAAAGTGATTCCCCCTCCCTCTCCTATCCTTGGTAACCACCAAAGAATGTTGCTTTCTGTATGTATACCTATTCTTGTCTTTTTACAATAGTGAGATCATACTGTATTTGTCCTTTTGTGCTTGACTTATTTCACTCAGCATGATGTCCTCCAGATTCATCCATATTAATATACTTTGAGAACTCACCATTATTCTTTATGGTTGGATAGTATTCCATTGTGTGTATGTATCAGTTTGTTTATCCATTCATCTGTTGTTGAGCAGTTAGGTTATTTCCATCTTTTTGCTATTGTGACTAATGCTGCAATGAATATAGGTGTGCACGCTTGCTTATTTCTTATAATCTGGTTGAGGTTCAAGGGCTGGGTGAAGGTCGGCAATGCTCTATGATGAGTAGATAAAAGCAAGTTGCTTTTTAAAACTAGTAGAGTGTCTGGATTTTCTTACATATACAACTAGTCCTCAGTTCCATCGAGGCCCTTTGGATTAAATACCTCCCACCACTTCCTCCCTTTTTGCCTTCTTCCCTTCTCCTCCTCATCTTTTACCTTAGTTCTAGTATTTATCATTATACCTTTAAAGATGTTTATAGCTGCAACATATTTTTAAAAATTGACTTTAAATTATATCCTCTGACTTACGGCTGTAAAAGAGGAGGAAATCCACATGCTTACACTACCTCCCAGGTTTCCTGTCTCCATTGCTACCCAGGTTCTGATTTATCATTTCCACATTGTCATCATTTATAATGTTTACATTCTCTTGTAACACCAATATTAGTCTTTAGCCTACAGTTAGATGAATTAACTTCTCAATGCCAGTCCTTCTGCTGTGGTTTTCCCTGTTATCTCCTAGTTTGCTACAGCATATTCTCTAGTGGTTTCCTCAAGAACTTTTGTAACTGTGGGCCCTAGGTTCTTTTGTGTTCAGAAATACCCATTTGTTGCCTTTATCCATACGTGAAGTTCAGCTGGACATAAAACTCTCCAGTCATCCTCGCCTTCCATGAGGACTCTGTAGGCACTGATCTGCTGCCTGTCTGCATCAAATGCTGTCCTGAAAAAGTCTGAGGCCAACTTGATGTTCTTTCTCCTTATAGGGGCTTGGTCTTTTTGCTTTTATGGAAAATTTACTGAGATATGTGTCTATGTTTTTGCTCTGCGTTCTTTTCCTAAGACAGGGCCTGACCTCTCATTCTGCAAATCCAAGCCTTCTTTTATTTCAATACTGTTTTCTTGAATTATGTTAAAACATCTTTTTTGTTTTTATTTTTTACTGTTCCACTTGTTGACTCTTTTCCTCAGGAATACAATTCTGAGCATATTAAGTCTCCTTTGCCTTCTATGTCTATCACTTTTTCTGTAACTTTTTTTTCAGTGTGCTCAATTTTCTCAGTCCTGTCCTCCATGTCTTTTCAGCTGAATCTGTTCTTTGTGCTGCTTCCAGTAAGGCCCTTATATACCTGAATGATTGTTGTTGTTTTTTTTCCTTCACTTATTTCCTCTGCTGGTTCATATTTTATCTTCTTCAATTAATTCACCTGAGAATGGTATCTCTAGCTTGAAGTGGTAATCATTTCATTACATTTCTTTTTTGAAAAAATTTATGATGGCCAATTTTGTCGTACTTTTTATTTGTTTTGTGACAGCTTTTTTTCTGGTTAGTTTTTTTAATTTGTTATGTTTTCCCTGTTCTTTTCCTCCTTTATTTCTCCTACAGCATCTTTGTATAAGTCCTGTCTGGTTCTTTGTGGAAGAGGTGAACCTTCTCGGATCAGCATTTTGCAGGCAACACATGTAGGGGAAGTGCCAGGGAAGTATTTTAGTAGAGCAGGATTACTCCCTGGTTCACAGTAAACTTTGTCCACAGGATGGTGGCAATCATTTCCTTTAGCTTTTGCTCCTACCCAGTCAGCAGAGATCTGTAGCAGTAGGCTTATTCATTTCAGAGCCCTTCTCTCACTCTGCCTCATTAACACCCTGCTTCCTCTAAAGGTGGCAGGTCTGTGGTTTCCTCTTAGTCCTGCTCTCCTCTTTCCTAAGAAAGAGTGCCAAAGGTAGCTCCCACTATCAGACCTCATACCTTGTTCCCATTGTTCCTGAGAACAAATCATTGGTTTTTCCTTTAGGGAGGTTCAGTTACTGGCTGGCTCTGTCAGGTTTCTCTGAGTTCTACAGCCACCTGTCTTCTGTTGGTGTTTCTCACTCCTCATTTGATCTTCACTGCTTTTGGCAGCCCTTTTTTGTTTTTGGCAGCGTTTTTTTAGAAGTTGTGGTTCAGATTACAAATGTCTTCTGGTTTTGCTGAAGATGGAGTTTGCATTTCTATTTCTCTTTCTCTTTTTGGGGTGATTTCAGATATAAAAAGGAGTTACTTTATTTTGGTATCTTAAAACTATTGTTGCAAATTTCCTTGTGTTCTGGTATTCCCCCAGCTTATATATTAGCCAGAGTCCTCTGGATAGAGTTGACATGAACTGAAGCTGGGGTCTGACAATAGAAAGAGGAAAGAAAATGGGAGTTGAAAATAAAACTGGAGGGTTAAAAAGTAAATCTACAGTGAACCAGTCTGTGCTATGTGGCAGCAGGGTCCTTTGCCTCTCACCCAGACTTCAGCTGAGGTGTGCCACTGTTTGGGTGGAAGATTGTGGCCAGGCAGGGCAGGGCATGAGGCAGCCTGTCCTCTGTCTGCCTCATGGAAGTTGTCCTGAGCCCAGCAACTGTCAGGCCAAGGAGGGAAGGGGAGGGCATATGCCTCTGCTCTGGATCGGCTGCAAGGCCCAGCTCCCCATCTCCCTGCACACCCAGGACCCATCCAAACAGTCCAAACCCCCTGGGTTCTGGCTGATCTCCCAGCAATGGTGACCAGTTCCTCCTCCCCTAAAACCATGATCCCATCTCAGGGGAGGCTCTGAGGGGGTAAACGCTGCTGTTGTTAGTTGCCCTCAAGCAACTAACATGGTGACCCCCTCCCTGTGCGCAGATTTGAACTCCTCCATAGGATTTTCAATGACTGTGGCCTTTTGGGAGCCCTAGTGGTACAGTGGTTAAGCACTCAGCTGCTAATTGAGAGGTTGGTGGTTCAAACCCACCAGCCACTCTGTGGAAGAAAGATGTGGCAGTCTGCTTCTGTAAAGATCACAGCCTTGCAAACCCTGTGGGGCAGTTGGGCTTTGTCCTATAGGGTCGCTGTGAATTGGAATAGACTCAACAGCAACAGGTTTGGTTTTGGTGGCCTTTTGGAGGCAGATCTCCAGCTTTGTCTTCCAAGGCACCACTGGGTGGGTGTCAACTGTTCAGCTAGCAGTCGAGCACATAACCATTATGCTGTTTATAAGCACAAAGAAAGAACCCATCAACCAAAGGGAAGGGGTCAGTGGGGATGTCCAGACAACAGAGCCAGAGAGGAAAACCTGCCTGCTGAGTCCCGAGCCAGGGGGCTAAGCCCAGGCCTGGCCCTTTATAATACTGCCTTTCAATATTTTGAAACATCACCATGAGAGAGGTGTTTCATTCCCATTTCACAGGGAGGAAATGGCATCTCAGAGAGGATAAGTGCCTTCCTATGGACACACAGCTAAGAGATGGAGAGAGGGATTAGGAGGCGGCTCTGTCTGGCAGAACACCGGTTTCTTTATTCCATCCCCACCCTACCTTCCCATGGAGCCCCTATCCTATCCTCAGATGGATCACTTTATGTCCGTGTTCCTGGGTGGCCTTGCTGGACCCTCACTCATGCTTTGGTTCTCAAGCCTGGCTGCATTTTAGGATGCTATTCAAACTTCCCAGGGCAGCCAGGGTTGGGAGCCAATGGGCCACACCCTAAACATCTGTGTTCTGCATGTTCTGAGCAGCTCTGTTGTCCCCCGCCCTGCTCCCCCTTCCCCCCGCTCCCGCGTTGGCACGCAGCTTGTCCCCAGGAGTGGGGTCCTGATGAGTAATCTCTGCTTGAGCCTTGGGATCAAATGCACCTGAATTCTCTTGCAGGCTCTGTGATCTTGGGCAAGTTACTTAACTTCTCTGGTCTCGGCCGTTGTTTCTTAAATAAGATTATCTATGATTGCAGTAAGTGCAAAACATGGACTCTGAAGACAGATGGCCTTGGTGTGAATCTTGGCTCAGCCACTTACTACCTGTGGGGCTTTGGCTAATTACTTATCTGCTCTCAGCTCTTTTAATTTTCTTATCTGCAAAATGGGAATAATGTATGTTTTATAGAGAGCTTCTAAAAATTAAATGAGCTCATAAATGTAAGTTGTTTAGAACAGTTTCTAGCCTATGGCAAGTACTAGATAAGCAACAGCTTTTAGAAAACAAAAAGAAAAAACTGTTGCTGTTGAGTCGATTCTGACTCATGGCGACCCTATATAGGACAGAGTTGAACTGTCCCATAGGGTTTCCAACGAGCAGCCGGTAGATTTGAACTGCTGAGCTTTTGGTTAGCAGCCAAGCTCTTAATCATTGCACCACTAGGGCTCCAAGTGCCAGATATTATTATATTAATTATTATCATTATTATTAATGTATGTAAAGGGCACAGCTCAGGCATGGGCATAAATGGATGGAGGAGTAATTGGCAACTGTTGCCACTGCTATAACGTGTGTCCTCTGCTTCCTTCCAGGAGCTTGCGCCCCTGCTCCAGCCTGGTAGAGGTGGCGGAGGTATACAATCCGGAATTCCCAGCCCGGTGGCCCATCCCTGGCTGCGGGGAGTGGAGGGTCCCACAAGGTAGCGGTGGGCTGCAGCGGGCCTCTCCCCCAGCGAATCATGGGCCAGAAGCTCTCAGGGAGTCTCAAGTCTGTGGAGGTGCAAGAGCCAGCGCTGCGGCCGGCCAAGCGGGAGCTGCTCGGGGCAGAGCCAGGGCAGCCGGCGCGGCTGGACCAGCTCTTGGACATGCCTGCGGCGGGGTTGGCTGTGCAGCTGCGGCACGCGTGGAACCCCGAGGACCGCTCGCTCAATGTGTTCGTCAAGGACGATGACCGGCTCACTTTCCACCGGCACCCTGTGGCCCAGAGCACTGACGGCATCCGCGGCAAGGTGGGCCATGCCCGCGGCCTGCACGCCTGGCAGATCAACTGGCCGGCACGGCAGCGCGGCACCCACGCTGTAGTTGGCGTGGCCACGGCTCGTGCACCCCTGCACTCAGTGGGTTACACAGCACTGGTGGGCAGTGATGCTGAGTCATGGGGCTGGGACCTGGGCCGCAGCCGCCTCTACCATGATGGCAAAAACCGGCCCGGCGTGGCCTACCCTGCCTTCCTAGGGCCCGACGAGGCCTTTGCCCTGCCAGACTCGCTGCTCGTCGTGCTGGACATGGATGAGGGCACGCTCAGCTTCGTCGTGGATGGCCAGTACCTGGGCGTGGCCTTCCGGGGCCTCAAGGGCAAGAAGCTGTACCCGGTGGTGAGTGCCGTGTGGGGCCATTGCGAAGTCACCATGCGCTACATCAACGGCCTTGACCGTAAGTGTGCCTGGTGGTGGGACAGGGCCTTGCAGTGGCTGCGGGTCCACTGGGGAGTTAGAGAGGGAGACGGGAAGCAGGTGAGGCCCCGCCCTCCATCGGCACTTGGGGTGATCCTGAGTGTAGGACTCTGGGGCCAGGGTCCTGGGTTTGAATCTTGACTCTCCTTTCCCGGCTTGGTGATCTGGAGCAAATTATTTTATTTCATGGTTGTAAAAATATATATAACACAACATTTGCCAATTTAACTTTTTCCACATGCACAGTTTAGTGGTATCAATTACGTTAATCATGTTGTGCAACCCTCGCTGATAATCATGGCCAAATTTCCCATCACCATGAACAGAAACTCACAGCTTCCTAAACAATGACTCCTCCTTTCCCTCCCCTTCTCATCCTTGGTAACCACTAATAAACTTTGATCTCTGTATATTTCCCTATTCTTGTTATTTCATATAAGTGAGGTCATATAGTATTTGTCCTTTTGTAATTGACTTACTTCACTCCGCAGAATGTTTTCGAGGTTCGTCCATGTCATAGATTGTATCACGACCTCATTTTTCTTCATGGCTAAGTAATATTCCGTTGTATGTATGTACCACATTTTGTTTATCCATTCATCTGTTGATGAACGGTTGGGTTGTTTACACCTTATGACTATTGTGAATAGCACTGCAATGAATACGGATGTACATGTGTCTGTTTGTGTAGCTGCTTTCAAGTCGTTTGAGTATATACCTAAGAGTGGAATTACTAGGTCATACGGTAGTTCTATGTTTAATTTTCTGTGGAACTGCCAAACTTTTCCACAGTGTCTGTACCATTTTGTATTCCCACCAGCAATGGATAAGTGTTCCAGTTTCTCCACATCTTCACCAACGTTTGTTGTTTTCTGTTTTTTGTGTGTGTGTGTGTTTTATCTTAGTCATCCTAGTGGGAGTGCAGTGGTGGCTCATTGTGGTTTTGGTTTGCATCTCCCTGGTCGCTGTGAGTCAGAATTGACTTGACAGCAACTAACAACAGCAATGACTAATGATGTTGAGCATCTTTTCATGTGCTCGTTGGCCATTTGTGTATCTTTTTTGGTGAAATGTCTATTCAAGTCCTTTGTTGGGTAAATCATTTAACCTCTCTGTGCCTCAGTTTCCCCATCTGCAAAAGTGGCACAATAATAGTAAACTAGGTCAGGGCTGTTGTCAGGATTGAAGATAACATATGCAAAAGTGCTTAGAATAGTCACTGACTGATATCTAATAAGGACTTTGAGTGTTGGTTCTATTTACGAATCCTTCAGTCTGTATTAGGGTTGTACAAAATGATGTCTTCTGGTGCCCATCCCCAAGCTAGTCACAGACGGCGGAGAGCGACAAGTAGAAGCCAGAGTCCCTAGACTTGGCCAGACCCTCCAGTTCCTAATAGATAATAAGTAACGGTAATAGCAACTGTACTTTATGGACCACCTACTGTATGTAGAGGCTGAATACCCACATTCCAGCTTGCACTGGTGGGCTAACGACAAGGGCTGCACTGTCTGTTAAAGGGGGCAGCTGCTTCTCACCTCCGGCTGATTATTGCCTCATGAAAATGAGAGCTCAGGGTTGTAGAATCTTCTGATTTTTCAAGAGAACCAGAAATTTAGATTTTGTGTGAACTATCACAATCTTTAAAGTTGACAGCTGTTGAAAACATGGTGTGGTCAAACAAAACACCCTTGCAGGCTACGCACAAGCCAACAGCCTGCTGATGTTGACCCCTGACAACTCTGAAGCCTCCATTTAGTCTGCACAACCATCCTACAAGCAGCTTAAAACTCATAGTGACGATAGTGGTTATTGGTGTTAGAGAGTCACTCAGGCGACAAGGTGGCCTGTGGATAGAAGCCCTCATAGCTCCCTGCCCCAGGTGTAATCCCAGCTGAGCAGGGCCTGGAGTCCCACACTCTAGGGCCCTCACATTCACACGTCAGCCGACCAGCATCAGGCAAAAGAGACTTCCTGCCGCACCCCTAATGAAGCTCACAGAGGCCGTGATTAAAGCCAGGATGACAGTTTATTCATTTTAAATGAGAGATACAATTGTCAGCCAACAAGATGGCTTCAAGATCCCTGTTTGAGAGATAAGGAAACTGAAAGACAGAGCTAGAGAAAGCCGGAACTGAGGCCAACCGAGGTCTGCTGGCCTCTGAGGCCCACTCTTTTCCCCTGCACCCCCTTTAGGTGAGGGACTGAGACTAATACTCCAGAAAAAAAAAATCAGGAATAAGATTTTACTAAGTAAAATTTACATTTGCTCCAGTGTAGGGTGGATTGAGGGCTTTTGAGGATGAAAGGCCAACAGAAAAGTGGCTGGTATGCCCAGCCCACTGGTATTAATTGGAGACAGTAGTGTCACTAGGGGAGAGCAGGGGGTGCAGACTGCACAGGGTGACATTGTCAGAGGGGGTGACACCAAAATGACTGTCTGTAAAAATATGCCTGTAGTTAGTTATAACACAAAATTATTTCTCGTAAGCCCAGCTTACATGTGTCAATATACCCACACGGCTAAAACTCTGTGCTAATTTACTTTTTGAGCCTTCTAATGAGCTCTAGTCAGAGCTGTCATTATTACCCAATTACAATGATGCTTCCAATCACATAGTTTCATCTGCACGCGCTACAAGAATGCACTGTTGTTTTTGTTGCTGCTGGTGTTTGTATAGTCTCAGATTTTGTCAAATTTTCTGGTTTCAGCTACAATATTGTGAACCTATATCAATAACTTTTTTGAGAATGAAGTAGCAGTGAAAGGAAAAGAAGGAGTGAAAAACGGGAATTATGATGTATAAGTAACATTAGTTCAAAAAACTACTAAGGATTCTGTATGATCTGGTACGGGAGGAGGTCCATGGTGGGGGTGATACCATGAGTTACCACACGGGGTGACACCAATCCTGGTGACATCACTGATCGGAGACCTTATTGCTCATATTTTATTTTCATTGCTGTTGGGCCAGGATGGCTGTTGAATGGCAAAATGTTGTTCTATTTACCCATTTAGCTGACTAGATTTAGGAACAAATGAGTGTGTGCTGAGAAGGGCTAGTTCAGTCATCACTGTTGGTTGTGGAAGGATATCTGAAACCCTCATAGACATGGTGACTAGGCAAATGCTAGTCCTGAGAAAACCAACAACAACTCTTTATTTAATGGAGGTGGAAAATTTATTCACTGGAATTGATCATTGGACTAGAAGGGTAGCCTTTGTATATCAAGACTCTGGGGTCTGATGCACCAAATTTCCAATTGCATCCCCAGTGCTCATTGATTTTATGCCTTTTTTGAGGATTCACTTCAACTCCCTAAGACTCATTTTACTCATCTTTAAAATGGGACAGTATCAGGTCCTCTTCACAGCTGCTGTGAGATCTTGCATGGTGATAGTAATAATATGGTAGCTGAGATTAAAGCCTGACGTTGACACCCAGTGGGAGTTACCAGAGCCAACAGTTGGGCCCCCAAGCTAGTTTCATCCCGGGTATTCATTCATGCTGCTGGGTGTTATCCGTTCCTTGGTTTTCAGGTACAAAGCTAAAGTGCTAATGAGGCTGCAGCCAGAGCCTCCTCCATATATGGTGGGAAGAGCATCTGCTTAATCCATGGTCTCCTTCATGGTCAGAGAGGCTGGGTGGAGAAGGGTAGTCTTGTTTAAGGGCATTCTGGGCTCATGGGTCCTTCAGGTGGTTGGAGAAGCTTGCTGGGGAACTGAGACTTGGTGTGTTCCATCCTCTTTCCCACTGGTGATAGTTTTCCAGGTTAGCTGAAACCGAAATGGCCATCCGGAGGCAAGGGGAGACTAGGATGTCATGTGATTGAGCCTATGGCGTCTCTCATTTGGTGACAGGGTTGACTTGTCTAATATGGTGCCGGCCTGTTCTCCAAAAAGGTGTAAAATTCTCTATCTTAGTTAGGGGCCCGATTGCAGAAAGAAGGAAGCTCAGCTTCCCCTGGCTTTGAAAGGCCTATGGTCAGCCTGGGACAAGCCCCAACTGAAGGATGGGCCATAGGGCAGGCTAAGTGGAGTTTCACAGGGGATAGCAGGGCCACAATAGTGTGAAGCCTGCAGCCGGTGGTCTGGGCTGAAGTCCTCTAGTGGATCCCTGGGAGCTGGGAGTAGTTTGGTCCCAGGGAGTCCCTAGGCAGGGAAGATGACCCAAGGTTGGGTCCTGGGATGAGAGAAGAATTCTGAGCCAGCTTTGGACATGGCAGAAGGTCCGCAAACCCAGACCTGACTAGGATGTAGAGAACTGGAATCAGAGACATGCTTGAAAGCAGAAAGGCAGGGCTGGAGTTGGGAGAGTTGGGCAGGCACCACCAGGCAGGACTCTGGGGTCACTTTCTCAGAAGGTCATGAGGGAGAGAACTTTGCTGGGGATATCTCACAGACCTGGGTTGGACTCTCAGCCCCAGCACCCATTAGGAGTCCGTGGACAACCTCAGTGTTCTCATTTGTAAAATGGAGGTGCTGAAGCCCACCAGCATGGAGCAGACACACAGCAATTGCTGTCCACTGCTTTGATGAGCTCAATGAGCTGCGACAAATCCTGGGGTTCACCTGTGGATTAAAACAAAGTGTCATTAGTTGAGGCTTTTTCTCTAACAAGAAGCAAGTTAATGGATATCATTTTCTCAGTTTTTGAATATTTATGACTGAAAAAGCAAGACTTAGGAAGGGCTTAATGTATTAACTCTGAAGCGTGTGTTTGTTGGGGCAAGAGGTCCTGGGGCCGCAATTTCCTATTGTAAACGCATAATGTTGTGGAAACTTCCGCAAGTGAAATTGGTTTCAGGCTGTGCCATGGAGTGAAACAGCTCAGCATCTCCGGGTTTACTGCAAAGAGCTGCAGTACGTCTGGGGGCCCTGCCATCTGAGTAAGCCTGAGAAGCATAGAGCCAAGGCTGGGAAATGGGCACACTGTCCCCAGAGGCCTGGGTCCAGGGCCCACATAATAATAGTAACAA